TAGATAGATAGATAGATAGATAGATAGATAGATAGATAGATAGATAGTTTTAATTAGCTTCAATTTCTATATTCCATAGGAAAATTATAAGGAAGAAGCCTGAAATGACCTGATTTGCTTTGATTGATACCTGTTGACCAAGGAAGATGATTGTCAGTAGGAAAAAAAAAGTATGTCATAATCTTGGCTGAATTTTTTTCTTCTGCCTCAGTCTTCAGAGTTCTAAGTTTATAGGCATGCCCATCATGGCCACCTTCAGCATCTTGCTATTTTTATGAAAAAAAAAAAAAAAAACTATGTATTCATGTGTGTGTATGCAAGTGGAGAGGAATCACAGTAGAATACACACTTAAAAATGGCAGTAAGCCAGGTGTGATGGTGTACCCCTCTAACCCCAGTGACAAGTACAAGGACTGTGCTACATGACCAGTTCAAGGCCAGCCTGCACAACATGACCCTGTCTCAAAATAAAAATGGAAAACTTTTGGTCTCTTTAAAAACCCAGTTATGTTATGTGACTATGTTTTGTTTTAATCCCAGGCCTGGGATATGGGGATGCTTCAGATTGTACACAGCAGCTAACTTTGATTTGTCCAGTGCCCTGGCAGCTGGCTCTGCCAGCTGAAGATAGCTTATGTCTGGAATTCTGGGGACTCTTGAGAGGGTATAAAAACACCAAAGCCCCCAAGAGAGGCTTGGCTGCCACACCTCCCCCACTGTTATTGTTGTTGTTGGCTGCTGGTTGGAGATATTCTGACAACGAAGATTAGACTTACTTACCCCTAAGAACTCAATGCCCCTAATCAGCAGGAAGTAGTCTAATGAGACCCTTTCCCCCTCTAAACCTCTTTTTCTGCTACCCAGTGTTGGGGGATTGGAACAGCTAGGAGTAGAGTAGGGTGGAAGGGAGGTAGAGATACAAGAACATAAGAAGAAGCCAAAAGGTATGCCTACAGGTTAGGAAAGCAGCTTATATTTAGCATGTATAAAGCCCTGAGTTTATCCCTAGTACTGCCAAAATGATGGTGGTGATGATGATGGTAATGATGATAGTGACATTAAAGAGATGAGATGTTGTTGCCATTTTCTTTAACTTTGAATTCATAATTTATTTAATTTTTAGGTAAACGCATTTCCCTTTAATCAGTTGAGACTGAATACACATTAATACTATATATTACACATTAATATTGTATACACATTAATATTGTATGTGTTCAAATTCACAGATGGGAAAAAATCAGAAAAAAGAACTAAAAGGCTATACCATATCATGGATTATTTGCATGTTATAAAGTTCAAAGGAATGGCCTATTCTCACCAAAATTTTTAAAAGAAGTTTGATATACTTTTGTGAAAATCATACTAAAAAGAATTAGCAGAAGATAAATGGCTTTTAGTAGAAAGGGATTTAAAAACTGCCTTGTTATGTTATTAAAAATAAAGCAAAACTTGCTCTCTTGTACACAGGTGCATCTCAGATGGCTTATAAGTGACACACAATAGTTAGTAACCAGCTGAGCATGGTGGCACAGGCCCTTAACGTCAGCACTTAGGAGGCAGAGGCAGGTGGGTCTCTGTGAGTTCAAAGCCAGCCTGGTCTACAAAGAGAGCTCCAGGACAGCCAAGGCTACACTGAGAAACCCTGTCTTGAAAAAACAAAAAACACACAAAAATTAGTTAGCAACCAAAATAGCCTGGCAGCAACCACTAGGAACCAGGGTCTAGGGGCTCAGAACAATCAATACCAATAGCAGGGTGGGCCAGGTAAGACTTTCAGCCCCACTTAGTGGTCTCAATATGAGAGGAAAACAAACAAGCAAATTAAAATACTTTAAGTACCTTAGAAAAACAAAAGTATCAATTTTGAATGTCCTCACTGGGAGCCTCTCTCACTCTAAATGTTCTTTCTTATTTTTTCTTAAAAAGAAAAAAAGCAACAAACTTTGTAGCAAAACCCAACTATCTATATTAAAATCCCCCTCAAAACACAAAGTTCTAGCAGCTTTTTGCAGCTGCCCAGAAATGCACAAGCAATTCCTCAAGGGAAAGAAACACACACACAAAGGGAAGCTTTACCAGAAAGTGAGAGCAGCTCACAGAGGGAAGCCAGGAAGGAGAGCATGCATGAGAAGCAGTGATCAGCCACGCTTGGCAGAGCACTTTAACCCCAGCACTCGGGAGGCAGACAGTTCAGGCTGGCCAGGTCTACAGAGAGAGTGCCAGGACAGTCGGGGCTACATGGAGAAACCTTTTCTCAAAACACGCTCCCCACCCCACCCCAAAAATGAGAAAAGAAGTGGTGATCAGATAAAGGAATGTTAAAACACATGACACAATGGACTGGCAAAATCAGAAAGTCAGAAACACCAAATGCCGGTGAGAGTACGGAGAGGAGAGCGAAGCCTCAAGAAGGAGGCCAGTCCCCATTCAGAAGAAAAACTTAGAAGATCAGTCCGAGAACTATCCACGCTGGCCCAGAACAGGACACAGAAAAGGATGTTTGCTATGGTCTGAAATACGGTTCCAAGGAGGTTCAGGCAGCCCCCACTTAAGGCCATGTGTGAGTAAAATCCATCTAAGGCCACTGTGGGGCACCCAACAGCAGAGCAGAGCAGCAAGGGACCTAGAAAGCACCTTCTAGGCTAGATAACCACTCAAACTGAGGGAGGACAGGACGTCTATGGCATAGCATCATGTTAGGTACAGAAAAAAGCACGCACATTCAGAAACGCACCTTATGAAAGCATTCATCCTCAAAGATAGGAATATACTAAATGAGGGCTCACAGGAGGGAGGGCGTGCAGGGGGAGGGCTCACAGGAGGGAGGGCGTGCAGGGGGAGGGCTCACAGGGGGAGGACTCACAGGGGGAGGACGTGCAGGGGAGGGCTCACAGGAGGGAGGGCGTGCAGGGGAGGACTCACAGGAGGGAGGGCGTGCAGGGGAGGGCTCACAGGGGGAGGGCTCACAGGGGGGAGGGCTCACAGGAGGAGGGTGGCTCACAGAGCTAGAGAGGACGGGAATGCAATAGCTGGTGTGTTTGGGCGTGGCTTAGGCGCACAGCTGGAAGCGGTACCTCTGTACTGGTACTGGCTGGAGCGCTGGAGGGATGGCGTGGAGGACGGCAGACAGCTCTACTGTTATCCCTCAGTTAGAACACCGCCTGTCTACCCGTTCCTCAGCTTCAGCGAGTGGATCATCACCTGTTTGTTTTCCTGCAGCTGGATCCCCACCAGGAAATGCACCCCAGGCAGAATGTGCTCCCAGGCCCCAAGTGAGACCTGAAGCAGCCGTTGGTCCCCATCGTGGCACCCAGTACAGCCTTCACGTAGCTCAGCTCTGTGTGCGAAGCGGGGAGCCCTTACCATGCCCCGGGGGCTACCGCACACGGCACACGCAGGCGCACACAGCCGCGGGCCGCCCGCAGCAGCCGCCGCCATGCAACTACCAAACAGTCAACTGGTTGACAAAAAAACGGTCAACAAGAGACAGGCCAAAGGTCACACCTTGCTTTAACTTCATAAATTCTTAGCATGTGCGTGTCGTTTCTCAAAGGAAAATGATGACCAGCGAAGAAGAAAACCAGCCTTCAACACATCGCTCAGAAAGACCCACTGTGTCTAAACCCTTTCCACTGATTTTCGTATGAATCACGTACACGTACGTGTTTACAAAGTAGGCCTTACTAAAGCGCACATTTACCTAGCTTCCCCTGCCCTAACCAAGCCTTCAGCCCACGTTAGGGAAGCCTCACGACGTGGCCTTCATCGTAATAAATCGTGTTTCAGTAGACACAGCAGACCCGATTGTTTGAAGTTGGTGAGCTCGTGTCCTTAATCCCTGATTGTGGGATATCCAGATCCTTACAGCTCTCTGTAACATAAGCAGTTAAAATCAACACACTCACTCACACACACACACACACACACACACACTCACACACTCACACACTCACACACTCACACACACACACACACACACACACACACAATTTGTTTGCGTAGGAAAAAAAAAATATGCCAAATGCAGATGCGCAATTCCCAGGCCAAAGAGGATGAATCTGGGCTTTGATCCACATTTCCAAGCTGGCCTTCTAGAAAGTGTGGCTTGTTCGACTAATTCTTTTTTGTTTTTAATCACACCCCACTCCCACCGCTGACGTGGTCAGGGAATTCCGCCTAACTTAGAGCCGGGAATCCCACAGTGAGGGGCATCGCCCAGCGAGGAGAGAGGACTTCTTCAGGGGCGCAGGGCTTCCCTGGCCTGGGAAAGGAGGCCCGCGCCGGCCGGGACGGCGGGGCCGGGACCGCGGGCCGGGGCGGAGGCGGGCGCCCGGGGCGGGGCGGCGCCGGTCCCTCCCTGCG